CTATAGCGGCACTTGTTGATTCTGTTTCAATTTGAATTTCTTCTCTGTAGTACGATTTGAGAAATTAATTTTGCTTGACCAAATTGTTGAAAATTCAATACAAACTTCTATCACGTTTCATGACCTCTTAGAATAAGTCTATATGAAGCAACCCTTTGATTTTGCTGCTTAGGGATGTTTTGGACGTGTCTATCGCCTACACAAAGATTTATATTGTTTGGAAGATATAGCAGGTCATTTAATAGTTTTGCATATGGAATTTGAAGCAACACCTTCTAGACATTATAATTATAATCATTTAACAGGTCATTTAACTCCTCTGCTAGAAGCATCTATTTGGTTGTCTATGTCAATGACATTATAATTAAGAGTAGTGATCATCATGGAATTTGAAGCAACACCTTCTTTAGCTTTTTCAAACAAAGGAACTTGAGAGACTCAAATATTTCTTGGGGATTGATGTTGTCTAAACATGCCGTTGTTATTTCCCAAACTTATATGTAATATATATTTTGGAAGAGACATAATTGATGAATGCAAAGTTTTTTGATACTCTTATGGATCAAAATACTAAGCTTATACCAAAGCAGATGGAGCTCTTTGACGATAATAGATGCAGAAAATTGGCTAGCAAATTAAATTATCTAACTATTACTCAGTTTGATATCTCACTTGCATTAAGTATAGTAAGTCAATTCTTTAACTCTTCATAGAAGAAATACGTTAAGGGAGCCTTAAGTAGAGGTTTTCTATGTGAAGACAAAATTCATACTTGAATTGAGATTACGATGCAGATTCGGCACATGTTCCATTGACAGAAGATCCACTTCAAGATATATTGTTTCTATTGGATATTGGAGGTAACTTGGTTTCTTAGAAAAGTAAAAAGTAAATTTTACTTGTAAGATCAAGTGCAGAAGCTGAGCCATACTTCAGCCAAGTGTGAGCTTATATAGCTTAAACAATTATTTCTAGAGTAAAATTTTAGAGTAAGCTCACGAATGACACTTATCTTTGATAATTAGATTGTCTTATCCATTGCTTCAAACACAATGTTCCACAAGAGAACTAAATATATTGAGTTACTTTATTATTTTATTTAAAAAAGATTTTATTTAGAGATATTAACAAAAAATTTGTCAACTTTAACAAAAATTTATTAAGTTATTTAAATATTAAAAAATTAATATCATATGTGATATTATATATTATTATTTTTATTTTTAACTTTTTATTTTATTTTTTCTATACACATAAAAAAAAATATCACAAAAATATAAGAGACAACTAAAAAGTTGTCTCCCAAAATTGTTCAAGAAACAATATTATTTTTAAATTAACAATTTGGGATGATGAATGTTATTGAAAAGGGACTGACCATTCAGTTGGATTTTATTAAAAGAGAATTTTCATGCCCATTATTTTTAAAATTTTTTTAAGTAAAGTAAAATGGATTAAACTCGAAAGAAAAAAGTTTATCATTGCCTATTTATCCTAAGTTGACAAATTAGTACGTTAACACTATAAATAATTTTGAATTAAACGGTTCTCAAATAGTTACTAGGATTCTATTTTATTCTTTTCTTTTACAACTTTTGTTCTATCCTTCTAATAATTTGTGCCAAACTTCGTAATATTCTTTTTGTTTACACTTATATAATTCTAATCCATAAGAGTGAAGCTAAATCATTGAAACAACTATTCTAAATTCACCCACACGTAAAAGTCTTCCATGGCAAAATGGCTAAGAAATTGCCCTACATCATTCCTCCCCTCTCTCCCTACCTTGTCGCTATTAGAATCTCTACTCAAACTCAATCGCCTTTTAAAAAAAATAAACTCACTTATTTTAAACATAATTATATGAAAATATTAATAAATAATTTTTAATAAATGAATTCAATTAATTCGTACGTCAATTGGAGTTTGGCTAAAAGTTTTTTTTTTTTTCAAAACTTTCTTGACCATGCTTTGATTAGTCTCAAAAGTTTAAAATTTCAATATATATACATGTATATGTATGTACGTTGAAAAACATTATCTAAAGTTCAAATGGGACATGAAGTTAATAATATTGTATAAATTCTTCATCATGTTAAAAGGAGTTAGAAAGAAAATCAAGGAAAGCTACATCATAAATATCTGAACATTTTAAGCTTGTCGCCAATTTCTTTCTAACTCCTTTTAAAATAGTAAAGAACTTATGCAATATTTTTAACTTCATCACTTAAATGTTAAATAATGTTTTTCAATTATTTAAGTGACTCTTCATCTTGCTATTCTAATAATACCTAAGACTGGAGAGAAATATTGAAAAAGTGTTTTTTCTTAAGTATTGGTTATATGCATAAATAAAAATTAGCCATGTCATAAATAAAGACAAAACCAACTCAAACTCAATCATATCTATACCATCTCTTGACGCTCTTCCTCAAATGCAAAATGAGTAGGTTGTCCAACTGATAGGCGGTCCAAGTCAGAATATTATGTCCATTAGAAAGAAATTTGATTTCTTGGAAGAGTAAGAAGTAGAATATTGTGACTAGGTTTGGTCTAAAGCTTGAATAGTTATGGCTCTCCCCACATTTGAGCTCATACAATTAAAACACCTCCCAGAGCTGCGCTTTGGAACCAACTTGAGAGTAGAAAAAAAGATTGAAAACTTGTTTCTCTAATTGATTCAGACTGTACAGAGGGTATACAAACATAGAGGAATAAGGAGAAGCCTAAATAAGAAAAACATGAGCTAACTCCGATATGATCTTAGTTATATAATATACAATAAATCTCCAAAGCATAGACTATTTCCATAAACACAAATCAAATTTGACATAAATAAGGACAAAACTAACTCAAACTCAATCATATCTGTATCATATCTCTTCAGATATCGCCATACTTTTTTATATTTCTGCAATAATAATGAACAAAGATAAATATGTATTTTTTACTTCTAATAATTATTTTTCTCTATAGTTTTTCTATCGCTTTTTAAGTTCATCTTCTAGGAATATAGAAAAGAACCAAAATGCTACAGAAGGGGTCACTTTCCTCATAAATATATGATGTTCCTGTTGGAGATGGATCCAAAAAGTTTACCCTTACCCTTTACAATACCCACTATTATCACTTTTCTATCTCTTGTAAAATAGTATTAGCGTAACTTAGAGCTTTTTCTTCCATTCTTTTTTAATTTAAAGGATTGTGAATTTGATTTTGGGTTATATTTATAGACTCTATATAGAAGTCCGAGGAAGAATCCTAACACCAATCCTATCACTAAATTTCATTTGCCAATTTTACTTATGTCACACTCATAATTTTTTTTCTTCCGCCTAGTCCTTTACTATAAAACGCAATAATCTAAAACGACAATTACAATAAAATTATAAAACCCAATAATTCATAATAGCTTGACGAAAAGAATATAAACGGTGAGAAGTTTTAGTAAATTTATATCACTTATTTATACTTTTGTTTGTAACATACTATTTTGTGCCTCTTTCTAAACCACACACGTTTTTCTTCTCTACACTTAGAATGTCAAACGATATTTAAATATAATGAATATTAGAGTTAAACGCTTATCAAACTCTTGAACCAATGGAAGCATAAATATTGTTTTCACTAAATAACTGAGGTGTGTTAATTATAATTTTTTTTATGTTGTATAGTTCATTTGCTTATTAATTTTTACTTCAGAAAGACATTAGTAAATAGCTTTCTACATAAAAAAAATTACATAATTTTTACAAATTTATAGCGCCTACACATTATGTTCTATATATGTTTCAAAGTAAAACGCAAACCCACCGCTCATCACAAGCACAAAATGGTTTCATCAATGACAAGTATCTGTTATACAATAAGAAAATCTATAGTAGGGAAACAATACGTTTATATTCAATAGATACTCAATAAACACATCCTTTACACATGGAAAGAAAACCTACTAAACACTCCCTTTATACGTGAAAATGATATTTTCCTTACAAAATAATCTCTTTTACCGTGTTCTTTCTTCACCCAAGCTTGTGCCTTTCTACCTTCATTCGCTGAAGACATTGTCACTTCTTGTATCCAAGGCTTTTCTTCTTCACTTCACTGAAAGATGAAGTCACTTATCCTTCTTTGACTGAAGCTTGTCTTTCCAAACTTCATTAAAACACAAATGTGTTTTTCCTTCCTTCACCCAAGTCTTCTCTTCCTAGACTTATCCAAAGCATTGTCTTCCTTCCACCCATGACGATTGACATCATTCGTTATTGACTGAAGTCTTAGATTCCTTCAGACAGTTTCTTTCTTAAACTTGTACCCTTCATTTGCAACCTTCAAACAATCAAGAACTAAAACCAAATTCTCTCCTCCCTTTATTATTCATTACTGATTAGTTCATTGATTATTAAATTGTTGATCCTGCTACCACCTAAGAAATAGTACAATTTATTAACCTTACACAATTAATTGTAATTTTTTTTAATACAGATGGATATAGATTTTGACTAATTTACCTTAGATATAGTACAACTTATTAACACTACAAGTAACTTCATCTTTCGATGAAATGAATAAGAGAAGGCTTCAACTAGGAAAGAAGCAGTAACAATGGCTTCAATGAATGAAGAAAGACACATGCTTAATTAAGGACAGAAAGAACACTGTACAAAAGATTTTTCTGTTAAGTTTTGAAAAACAAAGCTTCATTTATTTATTGTTTACTTAAGTTTTTAAATTAAATAAAATTCCAGCCTGTCACTCTTTCTTATTCACGTGTAATTGTTTAATAAATTTACTATCTACGTGTAAATGAGTGTCTGCGACAGGTAAACGTATCATTTTATCATTTTACTTCCTATAGAGTAACGATTTCTAAACTATTTCTGCACAGGACGCGGGAAATGAGCTGTCTGGATCAGATAGCAACCGAGTGATATTTATCACTTGCTAAATGAACAGCTCGGTTTAGTAAATTAAATTGTCACACAAAGCTCACCAGTTGTCAAAAATGAATCATGATGAACAGGTGCAAGTCTATCTCGATTCTCGACTAACAATAATCTCATGTACAATGAATCCCATGTACAATGGACAAAGAATTATGATTTCACTGCTAATTTCACTACAAAAAAAAAATGAAAAAGGTGGATGATACAAAAATAAATTACACGTATTGAAAAATTGATTTCCTAAAGAAGATTTTTCTACGTTTATACGTTATAGACTCGTATATTTACTGATATTACCATTGTCACTTCTGGTTTCTGCCAGTTTACACATGCAATCTGGCATAGGAAAAGTATATAGAGATCCACCAGCCTTTTTTAACTCGATTCCCTTTTGATCACTATGGCGAAGCATGTCTTTCATTTGTTGTTTGAATACTTCCCACCTGCAAAATCAGTTAAAAATATCTAGTAGTAAAATTTATGATGATAGGGAAAGAATCTGATGGATGGTTGGAAGTTCGGTAGAATAATAATGCCAAGATTTTAGATGTAAAAATAGTTGATAGATGATAAAGAACATTTACATGTCCATTTGAGATTTATAGTAAGAAAGCAGGCAAAATTTAAGAGGGAAACTCTTGTTTGTCCCATTAAAACAAAATAGTATGGTTCATCCTTCATCAATGTTTTTTTAACTTTATCTTCTAAGTCAATTGAGAAAAAAATTGGAACCAGAAGTTGGTACCTGTTTCTGTCCTAGGAAAAATATTAAAAATCACAAAGCGCAATCACATTTTACAGCCATGTAATCGCTTTGAGATTTTTTTTTAGTCCGATGTAATGTTGTAATAAACTTCGTCAGACAATTCTTAACCACTAGCAATTTGGTTTCTATCAGCACTTACTGTATTCCAAATTCTGTATGAATTGTGTATATCAGCAAGACAACAACCACAACTAAGTCTTATCTACTAGGTGATGTTGGCTACATAGATCATATGACATCATTGACCTCAATCAAAATTCAATAAGAACAAGTACATTTCTTGTAAGATTAAATTATTTATTGTTTTCCGGGTATTTCATACGTGTTGTGTACATCAATAGTTTATCTAACACTGGCACCCTCCAAACTGAGCTTTCAGAACACAAATGACCTCCCCAATTGCATATATTATTTCCCCTTATCTGTAATATTCAGGTGACAATCTTTCAAAATATGCCCATTATTAACATGACATGCTCAATGCCAACAACAGCATTGTTTTTTCCCAAAAAACTGTGTTGACACTTGAAATGCATGTCAAGTATAACCACTCATTTGTTGTAACACTAAACGTACTTTCTTATTGGCTCTTTATCACCCAACACTCAGTCCAATAAACATTGTAGGTTTTATAACTTATTGTACAGTTCAAATGTTCCTTTAAGCTTGAGTGGTACTTTTCCATCTCTATCTCTTTCTGTCACACACACAAAGGTTACCTCAATCCAGCAACATATTCTTGATAAGAGCACATCATGGAATTTTAGAGTACAACCGTACAGACTTCCAAGAAATTCTTGATACCTCAAACAGAAAACTGAATACCTTATTTTGCACATTTTAAGGATTTTTTCTGATAACTGAACACAAATTAGATTAAAGATAACAAGGAAGGAGTAGTGAATTTTCCTCCTAAATAAGGACAGACTAAAAGAAAAAGAAAGAAGCACAGAAAAAGGATCTCATCAATGCAATGAAGTCTCCATTCCCCTCAATATCTAGAAGTGCCAGTTTGGAATTGGGCATGGAACTGAGCTTAAATTGGATATGGGCTTATTAATTTAAAATATTTACATTCAAACTATTTTAGAATTAGAATATAATTGCATATGAAAATTTCGAGGAGTTACAAAAAAAAAATAGTCCAAGCCTTCTCTAATTCTTGCCAACACCCTAAAAGTTGTCAATTTTACACTAGGAATTAAAAATCATTGTTCAAGCCAAAATACAGAAGACAGGCCACTTCTGCTTATTCAAAGACATTCAATGAATTTGACAAGGTGCACCTCCTATGTTATAAATCATTTTTATCTCTCTACTGTTGATAAACATTTTCCAGCACTATCATAAACCCAGAAGCGCATTCCCTGCAACACCTAAATGCTTGTCCTTCTCTCTACAGATCCACCACTACATGATTTGATATTTTGCACATAAAGATATTCTTTTATTTCTTCTAATGGAAACAAAATCAATATTATAAGAAACTGAATGATGGAGGATTCTAGAGTACACATTGGTAATATATTTAAAGTGTCTTTGGAATGACAAGTTTCTAGTTTCCATGGCTAGGAAATTGTACAATCAATAAAAAAACTATACAAAAAAGATAAAATGACAAATGCTTAAAGAAAAGAGGATTTCACAACTACTAGTACAAGGGTGTGTTTAAATACACAACTTATTTAAGTGCTTATTCAATAAGTTCTACATAAATGATGACGTATGCCATAAATATAACAATAAGACTTGTTGGAATAAGTTGAAAATAACTTATTTTGATAAACTATATGTTAGGATCCAATTGCAAGGAATGAGACTGGAGTCCTACATTGGAAGTATGGGATTTTAATGTAGGGCTTATAAGGCCTTGGACTCTCCAACTATGACAGCTAGCTTTTGTGGTGTGGTTCTCCCAAGGTTCTTATCACTACACTAAGGAACTTATTGAAGTAAGTTGAAACAGCTTAACAGAGTCATAGGCTGTTCTTATAAGCTGTCTATAAGCTCTTCAAAACAGACTGTAATGAGGAGAGTAAGTTATGATTCTTAAATTTGAAGTGAGCCTAACTTAAACTCCCAAGTTAGTTCATGCAGAATTTTATTTCAATGTCCAAGAGATGAGCGAGGCGGTACGTGTGAATCTTGCTCAGGTATGTATGGAAGGAGGAACAATACACTTCTTCCACTCATTGTTGAACAATTACGAAGACCTAACTTGGGAAGATTTGAAAAGAGAGCTGCTGGAGAGATATGGAGGTAGAGGTGTACACCACCTCTCTTACCAAGACCTTCTAGATAGGAAAAAACGTGGGTTGTGTTACAAGTGTGGTGAGTCTTATGGCCCACTCCACCAATGCCCGATTAAGCAACTCCGGGTCATTTTGATGGACAATGATTTACAAGTCGAATGTGAGGGTGAAGAGACGCAAACAAGAGAAAGCTTCAGTGAAGAAGAGACAGACTCAGATGGAGCTTGCACTGCCATCAACTTGCAGGCGATGATGAAACGAGAGGATCCTCCGAGGACGATGAAGATACAAGGGAAAGTGGGTGAGTTCCCTTTGTTAATTTTGGTCAATAGTGGAACGTCCCATAATTTTGTTTCTCATAAATTGGTTGATGTTTTGGGTTGGAGCTAGGAAAAAACACGAAGCATGAAGATTTTAATGGGAGATGGTCACCGAACTGAGACAAAAGGTGTATGTAGAGGAATTACAGTGGAGCTGGATGAAGGGGAATTCCTGATTGATGCTTTTCCGGTTTGATCTTAAAGATATGGACATGATTCTGGGTATGGCATGCTTCACTACTTTAGGAGAAATGGTGGTTGACTGGAAGAAGCAAGTGATGAAAGTAACCACTCTGCAGGGAATAAAAATATTGAGAGGAGTTCCTCGTGAAGAGTCATTGCTGACTTCAGTTTTTGGGTTGTTGGAAGAAAGCAAAAAACAAGAGGAGCCGGGACTCACATTAGAACAAAAGCGAGCGTTGGAAGCGATATTACAGGAATTTGATGACATATTTGAGGAACCCAAAGGATTACCACCGGTGCGTGCTAAAGAACACAAGATAAATTTGAAACTGGGACAGGAAGCTATCAATGTAAGGCCATATAGGTATCCCTATCATCAGAAAAATGAAATAGAAAGGCAAGTGAGGGAGTTGATGGAGGTGGGTCACGTTAGGCCCAGCCAAAGTGCATTTTCCAGCCCAGTTATTTTGGTGAAAAAAGAAAAACAATAAGTGGCGTATGTGTGTTGAATACCGGGCCTTAAACAAGGCTACAATTCCGGATAAGTTCCCAATTCTTGTAATAGAAGAACTACTGGATGAGCTGCATGGATCTCGTTATTTTTCAAAGTTGGACCTTCGCTTCGGCTACCATCAAGTGAGGATGAGGGAGGAAAATATACCAAAAACCGCGTTTAGAACTCATGAAGGGCATTACGAATATCTTGTTATGCCATTGGGGCTCATGAATGCTCCATCTACATTCCAAGCCCTCATGAACGAGGTATTTTGTGCTTTGCTAAGAAAAGGAGTATTGGTTTTTTTTTTTTTATAATATACTCGTGTATAGCAAAGGATGGGAAGAACATATGCAGCTGCTGACTATGGTGTTGGAGATTTTGAGGGAAAACATGTTGTTTGCTAATAAGGAGAAATGTTCTTTTGGCCAAGAGAGCATAGAGTATCTTGGCCATATTATTTCTATTCAAGGTGTAGCTGTTGATCCATCAAAAGTGAGGAGTGTCATGGAGTGGCCTGTGCCAAAGAATGTCAAGGGAGTGCGTGGATTCTTGGGCCTAACCGGGTACTACTGGAAATTCATTAAAGATTACGGTAAAATAGCAAAACCTCTCACTGAATTGACCAAGAAAGACAATTTTGGGTGGAATGACAAAACTCAAGCAGCTTTTAATGAAAGAGGACAATCACTACAACTCCCGTTTTGAATTTGCCAAATTTTGAAGAGGAATTTGTATTGGAATGTGATGCGTCAGGAACTGGGATTGGAGCCATATTAATGCAGCATAAAAAGCCTATTGCTTAATATAGTAAAGCCATTAGTCCTCATAGTTTAACCAAGTCAGTGTATGAACATGAATTGATGGCTGTGGCATTAGCCATTCAGCAATGGAGGCCTTATCTGTTGGGGCGAAAATTTACTGTTTTTTCTGATAAAAAAAGCCTCAAACAGCTGCTGCAACAACGTATTACCACAAGGGGACAACAAATTTGGTTAGCCAAGCTTTTGGGCTACAATTTTGAAAGAGTTTATAAACCCGGAGTTGAAAATCGAGGGGCAGATGCCCTTTCACGAAGTAGAGACCATGTGGAATTGAACAATATGGTTTATATCCCTGTTTGGCTTGATTGCCAAGAATTAATTACAGAGGTCCAAGAAAACGAAAAATTTAAGAAGATAATTGAAGAAGTGCACAGGGAAAATGAAGACAGACCCTATTTGGGATTTTCCTATAAACAAGGAGTGTTGTTGTACAAAAATAGAGTGGTCATTACAGAGAATTCAGCTTGGATTCCAAGGCTCTTAGAAGAGTTTCATGCTACTCCTATAGGTGGGCATTTCGGGTACTATCGAACTTACAGACATGCTGTAGCGAATTTCTATTGGAAGAGAATGAAAGGTGATATTCAGAGGTTCGTCCAAGCTTGTGATGTTTGCCAAAGACAGAAGTATATCACTACTGCCCCGGGCGGTTGATTCAACCTCTACCAGTTCCTGATAGAATCTGGGAAGATGTGAGCCTTGATTTTATTACAGGATAGCCTAGATCCAAAGGCCACGAAGCCATCATGGTAGTAGTGGATAGATTGAGCAAATACTGCCACTGTGTGGCACTCAAGCACCCCTATACAGCCAAAGCACTTGCTGAAATTTTTGGTAAGGAAGTAGTGAGACTCCATGGCATACCAAATTCGGTGGTAGGCAATCGTGACCTGCTGTTTATGAGTTCGTTCTGGCAGGAGTTCTTTAAGATGTAGGGAACTAAATTGAAAATGAGCATAGCCTATCATCTGCAGACGAATGGACAGACTGAAGTAACAAATAGATGTATTGAAACATACTTAAGGTGTTTCATCTCAGACCAACCCAAAGATTGGGTAACATGGCTGCCGTGGGCAGAATATTGGTTTAACACCAATTATCATGAGTCTACGAGAACGACACCTTTCGAAGCCGTTAATGGATGTCCACCACCAAAGATTGTGCAAGTCGTTCAAGGAGAGGTGAGAGTGGAATCAGTCCAAAGAGATCTCTTGGACCAAGATGAGGCTCTGCGTCAGTTAAAGAGCCAATTGCTGAGAGCTCACGATAGAATGAGAACTCAAGCAAATAAGCATCAGAAAGAAAGGAAGTTTGAAGTGGGAGATATGGTTTTCTTGAAGCTAAAACAGCACCGCCAGAAATCAGTAACAAGCAGAATCAGTCCTAAGCTTAGTGCCAGGTATTATGGGCCATTTGAGATTAAGGAGAAAATAGGAGAAGTGGCATATAAGCTCAATTTGCCTCCAATCTCAGATTCATCCTGTATTCCATGTATCATTGCTGAAGAAGGCTGTGGGAGATTATATAGTGGAAAATGAATTACTTACAGGACTTGAAGATGACCGAGTTGGTATGATTGAACCTCAAATTATTTTAGCCACGCATAAAATTACAACAAGAGGAGAAACACAGAGCCAAGTCTTAGTGCAGTGGAAGGGCAAAACTGTTGAAGAGGCTACGTTGGAAGATGAGGTGGTTATCCGGAGTCAATTTCCAGAGTTAAGCCTTGAGGACAAGGCTGTATTTCAAGGGGGAAGTGTTGATACAGACCCAAATGCATATAGGCCTAATGAGCCATTGATCCAAGAAGCTAATACACGCAGATGGGGAAGGATGTATGAGAGGAAGAAAACTAGAAAAAGTGACGTGGCAAGCTATGAGAAATAAGTTGGTTAGACGAGAGAGAAAAAAGGGGGATCTCCATTGTATTTAGGATCAGGTGTAGGGATCAATGAGAGCATTCCGTTTTGTTGATTGTTTTGGATAGAGGGCCATTGTGCTTACGCTCTGGGCAGTGGGATTTCTCATCCTACTATATTTCTTGCTTTCAATCAAATAGAATCAGTTCGTTATTTCTTCTAATTTGTTGTGCATTCTCATTTTTATTGCATTGAGTTCCCTATTAGTAGCTAATGTGGGATCTTAACACCTCTTTATGTTCAAATATTAGATATTTAGAGCATGAAAATTGTATGAATAATTTTTATTTTATTTTATTTATTTTTATATTTCAGTGAAAGAGCCACAGGACTAGGTAGATTTCATTGAGAAAGTTGACGGTTCAGGTAGGTTACAATACGATATCTACAAGGAAAGGTAAATACAACATGAAATCCATAGAGTCAGGTTGATTTTTGGACAGATGAGGGTGACCCAATGTCAAATATGCGATAGACTAATATTTACTTAGAGAGAGATTTCTATGAGTTGTCTAAGCCATGTAAGCTCACATGTGATTACTATTATAGCAATGGTTGCTAAACTTGCAAGTTAACTTGTGAAATCAGACTAGTTTACGTGCTTAGAATGGAAAAACAAGTTACGTGAACAGTAAACTCATTTTCTTCCCACCTCGGATGAACTCGCATAAACTTGGTTGAAATTGTGAGTTCAGGATCAAGTATACACGTTAGCTCAATTAAGATGTTAAGAAAAGGTAAACATTCTTAATTTTTCTTCACTTAAGATTTATTGATCTTTGTCTTCATCATCTTGTACGTGATTTTTGCATTTATTTGTAATTATGAAACTACATGGAAAATTATTGATGAAAGGTGGGATAAGCAGCTCCATAAGCCTCTACATGCAACTGCATATTACCTCAATCCCAATTTTCAGAGATGATGATTTTGAGGTTAAACAAGGCCATATAGTTCTTTGGCAAGGATGGTAGATGACCTAATTGTGAGGAATAAGATTCATTATCAGTTTTCTGAATTTCATTATGCTCAAGGTCTCTTTGGTCTTGATCATGCAAAGTCAAATAGAAAGATTATGCTTCCTAGAATATGGTGGAACTTTTATGGAGATGGATGTCTAGAGCTAAAAAGGTTTTCAATTCCGCCTCTTACTCCTCTATGAGATTAGGTTTCCACCAAATATGAACATATAATCCAAAAGGAGAGTGATCAGGGAAGACAAAGCAATCAGTCTCACACTAGGTCATGCCAAACTATATCAATGCAGGACTGACGCACCCCAACCAGGCCTGATGGGATCGCTTCTTATGATAAAGTGAATGATGCAATCGACAAACTTGGCAAGGGTTGCTAGTGGTGGTAAAGCCAGGCGACTAGTCTATATAAACCTCTTCCTATAATTCAGCATGAAATATTAATAATATCCATCTGATAAAGAGATCAACCAATAATGAATGAAGGTCATGGCAAGGAAGAGATCCACTAAGTGATTTTGCCTTAGTGTTGAAGTCCCACATCAACTATAGATACAATTAAATAAAAGCTTATAAAAGCTAAAGCAATCCTCACCTAACAAGCTAGCTTTTGGGATTGAGTCAAGCTTAAAGTCCAAATTCAATAGAGGGGGAAGGCATTGCTTTAGTCAAGGAAAAAAAATCTGAAAATACCTTCTGCTTACCAGGTGAGCTTTTACGTGATAAATATTGCTATTAGGTCCAATCTGATACCATTCTAAATTTGGATTGAACCTCACTCCTAAAAGATAGTTCATTGGATTGAACCTCGCTCACTCCCTGACCTTACAATGATACTGTTCCTTCCTACCTTCTTTCCTGTCATATTCCCTTTCATATACAATTTCTTACTAACCACCTCAAACTAATTCAGTTAGTTGGGTGCTGACCCCTTACCCCTCTCTTAATCCTTTTAACTTACACTTGCTTTGTTAATGGTTTGCTATCAGATTACTACTCTACATATTTCTTCTGAACTTCAATTAGAAGATATGTTGACTAAGTGCATGTTTGGATTTCCATTTGGAAAACTCCAGACATTGTTTAAAAAGTTTGTATCTTGCAGTTTCAAGGTTTGCCCAAACCATAGATTGAAGGTTTCAAATGGGAATTCAAATGCACTAAAAAGGGCACCCCCAGAGAGAGATCTCAATATATGACAAGCAAGCTACGAATGATAGATTTCCATTCACCAATTGGAGCGGGGGTGTTGTAAATATAAAAGAATAATCATTAAATTTTTGTTTAATTTTTTCAGACAAGGGGAGATTTATTTCCTTAGATTTAGCTCTATTTTTAGGCAGCAATTATAATAAGAAATAGCATTCAGTATTTCTTCTTTCAAGCGTACCTTATACAAGGATTATCAAATACAGAAGTAATTTTTCTTATTAGGATAACTGTCTTCTAGACAAATAAAATTCATCTTCAAAATAAATATTTTTCTGCTTGAATCAAAAAGAAACTGTGAAAACAAATAAAAATAAATGAAGAGCCAAAATTGTACCTCATATTAGGATTATCAAATAATAGAGCCAATTTTCTCTTATCAGGTTTAATCGTCTTTGCATGCCCACCATACAGATACCGTCTGTGACCCATCAAGAAGTGTGGAAAATTTCCACCCTGGGTTGTCACAAAAACTTCACTATGAAGGCAAACAGTATAATCAAGAGCGGCCAACCTAGACGAGTGCCCCTACATTATAAACATGTGCATTATAGACGTTGTTTATTCTGTGAATCACGTTTCTTTCTGTAAGGAATAAAATGGATTTTTCTTGTTTTAAACAAGCAAAGATCACTTCCTAAATACCATAAATTGTGCAAGCTCTTCTGGTGTTGCCAATGTATTCTTGGTTTGTAATCGTGGAAACATTTGCTTAAGTGGTGCCATGTATTTTTGTTCTTTATAAATCTTCCCTGCTGCAACATATACTGATGTTGTGTTATCAAAACCCATGCCTCTAAGCATCATTCCCACCTACAGCATCAAACAAAAGCTGTGAAAATCAAAACCATGGCAAAATATTAATCTTTAAAAGATTGTGTTTCCTTTATAATTTTCTATTTCAGTTATGCATTTCAATATTTCTTAAGCTCAATTTTTGTATCTTCCCTCTTCCTTTTCAGAAGAATTTCCAGTAACCTTTCAATGGTAGGGAGCCTAAATTAGCAAGGAATAAAAAATAGGAAACTAATTACCATTCTAAAACCATGGGATATCAAGTTTCAGGTCCTATTGATACCAACACTATTGCCCCAATTGATGCTAGCATCTGATTAAACTCTTTAGAAAAGAAAAATAAAGAATACTAAAAATTTAGAGGAATCCTGTTTACAAATCAATCAGAATATAATACATCCAGTTATCTAATTATTAGCTTCAAATCAAATTTCTAGGAAAATTGTTGCAACAGAATATTTAGGATTTTGAGCATCAAGCATCTTAATTTTTTTTTTCCAATCAAATTAAAAAGAAAATAGATACACCTAGAGCACGAGCAACAAATAATTTCCAAAACATTGCATTTTTAAAAGGATACAATGTAGCACAAATATGGGGATGAGAAATGGAAAGCAATAAAGAAACTGAAGAAAGAAGGAAAACTGCATACCTCCAAAGGAGTCAATGGGCATCTTCCATCTACACGGTTAGCACCAGGCTTTATTATCCTATGTCGTCTTCTGAATTTACCTCGCCAACTCCTTTCACGAGCAATATCCATTTCATGTTTTTCCTCCTCCCCACCATCATACTCACAGCATGAAAATGCAACCATATCCTTTATACAGAGAAAAACTAATAATTATAATAAATCATATACAAATTATAACTAATGTAAACTAAGGAACACAAAAATTGACAATAGCCTATTTATTAATAATTTGCAAAACATAGCAGCAAAAGCAACCAATGGATATTTCTAACATTAAAGTAGACAAGTAGTGAACTCCAATCAAATTCAGAAATACAAAAGCTCTAGATAAGCTCATTTCAACAGTCTTCTATTACAGAACCAGACATTGGTGCAGCTTTTGTTACTCTTGATCTGTGCTTAGGGTTCAGTGGATGAAGAAAGGAATATTTGCAATATTAATGGAAAATATCAACAATTCTTTTGTGTGTATTTATGGCACACAGAACTTTAGTGCTTGCCCTATTTACAGAATATAGGCAGAGAAAAGGCTTTGGGTGCAAAGGGGTGTTTCAACTTGCAGGACTAAGCTCTAAATATCAATTTGATGTAGAACTACAGAACCAAAAAACACAGGAAACTCAAAAATTGGAAATTGTCTTTTTATCAATAATTTGCACATGATACCAGAATACAGAAATTGATGGGCTATTTATAAGTTATAATCATACAGTAGACACGTAGTCAACCTCCCATCAAATACCAAAGTTAAAATAAATAATTTATCTAGGGATAAGGTAAAATCCTTAAATTATCATAAAAAAATTACAAAAATTATTCTAAATTATGCTTATACATTATGAATCAATACGATAGCTAGTAAATCTAACAACATAAGTACAACAATATAAAAAAAAACACCTCCTCAAAACGAAGATGCACTGAAACATATTTCCCTCCACTCTGGGAGCTATGTTTAACCATCCGATCAACCATGCTTTCTGCAAGTGTTCTTATTGGTTCTGAAAATCTAAGAGCTCCAAAATTGGCAAAGCATCTAAGCCCTTGGATTTTGGAGGGTACAGCCTGAGCTAGTCTGTTGGAAAAAGGTGCAATGCGAACAGCCCTGCAACAAGCATAAGCTGAGTCCTCTTACGAGCCATTGACAATATATGGCAAACTGGTAAAGACGTGCTTGTAAGAAAATAAAACAGTGATAGTAATAATAAAATCTAGATCAGAACAATTCAATAAAATGACTACAAATGTACTTTTTTATAAGATGCATCAAAAGACTTGAAAATCTCTGCATTTGTTCCTATAGTCAGCATGAAGCACCACAAAAACCAACAATCAATTTATGACTCCTTGGGCATTTAAATTTTTAAATTCAAATCACCACTCTACTTTTATGTTTTAAATGTTTGTGTGTACTTGTGTCTTTACATATGCCAAACTTACTGAACACAATGAAATCTACCCCAAAAGCCTACCTGTTTTCAGCGAAAGGGAGCAACAACAGTAAAAGCCTTTCCAACCAAGTGGAGTTCAATACAAGGATCAAAAATTGTTGAATTTGGGCTTTAAGCCTAATTCAACCCAAAAGCTAAATCGTAAGGTGAGAATTATTTTAGCTTTATAAGCTCTTATTTAGCCATATCTATAGTTGATATGGGACTTCAACAAAAATGACACTATTGTATTTTGCCAAAAATCAAGTTTTCCTTAAAGCCATTAAGACCAAGATTTTTTTTAATGGTTTTTTCTTGGGGTGGTCATTTTGGATGATAGAATTTGAATTATAGTTCAGAATTTCAATTTCAATTCCAATTTTGTAAGAATCAGAATTGAGTAAGAATCTTCATTTGAATGATTGGCACAAATAAATAATTGAGACCCAACATTGAAATTCTGAGCTGGATTTGAATGCTATTATTTTCATTATTTATCTGAATATATAAAACAGTTAAATTTAAAATAATAAATTATACATTATAAACTTGAGCAATCCCTCACTTTAGTCTTAAGATAGCATGTGCTAGTCATTTTAGCTCCTAAGTTTACTAAAACTTCACTTGTCGACTTTGAAAAAAACTGTTCACATTAGTCATTTTCCACTTCTTTTCATGTTAAGGATTGATAAATAATGCTTTCCAAATAAAGATAGAAACTAAAATGACTAGCACAAAAGGGACTAAAATAATCATTTACTCTTAAAAAAATATTATAAATAAAATTTTCAGTAGAGCTTGGTTATCAAATTATTTCTTAGAGAATGTCAATTATGACAGGATCAAAGGACACCAACAATACATGATCAAAGTACACAAATGATGAGTGTGATCCATGAACAGATGGCAACAATGATTGACAGATGGTAGTAGTGATGTCACCAGCACCAACAATGATGTTGCTAGAGTATGCCAAACATAAATAGTTGCTTGATTATACAAGCAAAGCATCGCACACAAAATGTACATATATTTTTCAGTGCTTGGAAAGGTAATTTATAGGGTCCTAAAGATTAGAATTGATCATATAAATATAACAAATTTTATGTACCAAACAAGATTATGTGAATAGGAGGTCCATTTCCAAGCCAAATTCTGCACACTAAATGGCACCTTAGTGTTTGTCTTGGTTGTTCTTCTCTCTTGTATATTAATAAACTCTTAACGAACCACTATTGGTTTTCTGCAAAAGGTGAAGGATAAGGAAATTGGCATCTTTCCCACATGTTAGGAACCCATAGAAAGATTTTATTGATTAATTGGAATTGGGCAGAAACAAGGAGAAATAATTTTCCTCCAAGGATTTTTCCTTCCCAAAGGGTTTCCCTCTTCTTACAACTTGCTAATTATTTGAGTGAATCTTTCCACCTTTCTTCCTCCTATCCCATTAACTAACTATTGTGCTGCCACTACTTACTACTTAATTTTCCCTTCCCTTCTATCCTAATGCCTACTGCCACAGTTCATAGCCGTTATTGAATTTCATATTATGATGGAGGAAAGATACATGAAGGGGACCGAGGAGAAGAAAATGGGCCTAAGGAGAAAGTAATCCATGAATCTTCAGCCAAGTCCAAAGATTGGATAGTGTATGTGAGGAAAAAAAAGAAATTAGAAAATGTTTGAGATGTGCTGAGTTGGCAAAGTTAGTTATGGAGAGAGAATAGTTTTTTATTACTTAGGCATGTTTAGCCGTGAGTGGAGGGGGTTTTTATGGTTTTGGCTGGAAGTTGTGGGATAGAGTGTCGTTTGGCTCTCTGTAAGGAGCATTGCTCTGGAGCATTAGAAGAACCTTTCTTCTTCTGCATAGTTTCATTTTTTCTGTTGCAAACAATACAAACCTCCCTTATTCTCTCTCAATATTGCTGTTTCTACCCAATATCTTGTTCTGTGATTTTCAAGTCTGTAACAATACATCAACCAGAAAACTTCGATACACACAGAAGTCAGAGTCCAAATTCGTGAGTGAAAGAAAGATGTTAATAGTCCTAGGGATAGTTGTTGCACTTGGGTCCAAACACTCACTACCTCAATTTCCAAAAGAATATGTAACTTTCTATAGTCTAAAAAAGCAAAGTATGTCTATCAATAATCAATATTATATAATGCTTTGATGAGTTGATCAATGGGATTATTGAAGATATGTCAGCCGGAGGGGAGTTGGAGAACCACACCACGAAAGCTTGTCATTCTAGTTGGAAAACCTAAGGCCTTATAAACCCCACATAAGAATCTCATACTTCAAATGTGGGACTCAAATCCCATACTGTGATATTGGAATCCTAACAGAGAGTTACTTTTTCTGTTCTGAGAAAGGGATTGGACTTAACTTTTGAGCAGAGTCATTCTTTCTGCCACTTTATTTTTTGCAGTATTCTGCTGTATTGGAAATTTGGAAGACTAGCAAAAAAAGTTCTCACTCATTCAGTCCTATATATTGCAGAAAAAAGGATATAAAGAGAAACTCTTTTTTATGTAAATATGTAGGTGTGTTGACCCTTACTTTTTATAATGAACAAATGGACTGGGTACCAGAGCTTAGATCAATATAGGGTGTTCATGGGTTGGTTTGGAGGAGATTTAAAAGCAACCCAGACACCATTGTTAGATTGGTCAACGGATGGTGGCTTTAATTTATTAGCAATAGAGAGTACACCAAGTACTGAGAAAAATAATGTTATATGACAGCAAAATATTCATGAAACCAGAGTAAGTTTTAGGTGACAATAAAATTATAACACAATTGAAGCACATCTATTTAAAATTGACATTAGAGCATAGGGAGAAACCTTCGTTGTGTGAATACATAAGTGTATTGTCCCTTACGTCTCTTTCTTATTTATACTGTAAGAATGGGTTGTGTACAGCATGTTAGTAAAAAGCAGTATAAGTCTGTAGAGCAGTATAACTAAATACAGCTAACTAAGTCAACAGGGATACTATATTGTAATTTTCTGTAACTTGTGGGGACCTTAAATTAGGTATGTAGTGGTGTCTATGTGCAGGCTCTCGATTGTTAAGTTTTGTCCTCAAAATTGGTTTCAATTGTTAGGGACTTACTTACGTTAATGGATTGTAGACTCTTTGTACTCCCATTTGTGATTAATTCAATTTTAAAAGTCTTGTATTCAGCAATCATAGTACCATCAATAAATGAAGAGATAATATCTATGGAAACGTGAGCAGCCAGACATATGATATAAATTATTTTTGAACTGCCATTATTATAACATATTTCTACCTCATTTGGCTATCATTTTACACTTTGGCATTTGGAAAATTTGTAACCTATAGAGAATAATTGAACTTGAAAGATGATAGAATTTTAAAAACACAGCCAAAACCACTTTCAATCTAGAAGAATTGAAAGCCAACCAGTGGTGAGGAAACATAACAAGAATGAAAAGCACACACCCCATTTCCAAAAGCTGAGGAAGGACCTTCTGAAGATAGTGAGCTGAACTGGACCAAGCTTTTACTCTAAGATTGACAATATTACTTATGTTATTGTCAAATTGCTGAAGTATGTCATCCGGGAGTTCTCTCACCACATGCACACGATTTCCAAGTGATTGTATAAAGAAATCTTCATCGAAAATGTCTCCAAACTTGCTGCCAGATATTAAGATGAAGCATACATAAATTTTCTAATTTAACATAACCAAGATTACAAAGTATCAACATGGATTATAAAATATCCCATCCATTAACTTCATTGCCCAACAAATATATATAACAATGAAACTCCCATATTAATAATTATAAAACCTAAAGGACTCTATGTTCTACATATACAAACCTTAACCAAGGATTCACTTCAGATGTCTCACTTATGCATATCAAGGAGTCAAATCATTCTATCAAAAAGTAGTTCCTTTAAATGTTGTAGGATAAGCCTGAAGCAACAACTAATGTAATGGATTCTTAGTTCAACATCTGTTTTCACTTATGAGTCTGGCATCTATATTCATAAGTAAGATAACTTCTGAAGTTTAGAATATTCAAACAGTATACTGTTACAAGTGAACATGCTACCATCATTTTCAATGCACTGGTACAAGAAATGTTAAGAAACAAAAGACTAAAGCTCAAACTGATTTATGTATGCAGTGCATATCTATTCTCATTTAGAAAACTTATCAACTTGTCTGCATGGATAAATTATAGAGAATGAAGATTACAAGTTAGAAATTAGAAACTATCTGTTGAAAAAAAAAAAGGACCCTCATGGTACCTAACCTCATAATTGATACAATTTTGAAAGATTTTCATTATCTAAGATGTTGGTTATTAGTTGATTAGTTCCTTACTATGCATAAATTACATCTTTAATTTTGAAGTCCAATCCAAAAATTTAATCTAAAAGAAATCAAATACAAGATGATCTTTCATTCTCATACCCTTCAATCATTCTGAGCTAAGACCCAATCTGACGTATCATGAATGCAAGTAATATAAATTGTGGGCATAGAGAAAGAAGAATGAGGACACATGATCAATTTTTCAAGTTCAGACTCCTAATATCTAAATGAGACGAATGAAATTAAGAAACATAGAAAATAGGGTCAGATCTAGAGCAATGAGATTTAACAGCCATTAAACATTAATAGATTAAGCAACCACCATGACCATGTCACCAATTTTAAACTTTTAAGCACCACAAACGCCATTACCTTGAGTCTCGCCATACACTATTTAAATGAAATATTGGAATAACAAGAGTTGCATTTAGTAGTCCAGCCACAGCAACTGCATCACATATCTGCATAAAGAGTAGTATAGTAAGTGACAGAACAATAAGGACACATGATGAATGATGGATAGAAATCCACACCATCAATGCTCTTCATCTAATTTCATTAACCAACCCTGACAGTCTACCCGTATATATACTTTCAGAGCATAATGACTCAAGGACAAGCACCTGGATAAAAATATTCAGCAACCTCTTAAAGCACTCTATATTTAATTCAATAGGTATCCAATTTTGAAATCAGATGATGGATGTAGAAAATCATTAACAACATTTCAATCCCTCCTACCAACATGATTTCAAGTTTCCTTGTACCCATTCATATTTCATACGGGATTCAATATTAATGGCATGTTTCATATTCAGGATGGTGATTCCATGTGATGAAAATGGAATGAAGTGGTCATTTCCAAAACAGTTTGGTAGCATAAGGAATATTTAGGTTGTGTTTGGTAAAATAAAAGTTGCATGCTTATAACTTCTAGTTGTGAAGCTATTTGAAAGCTTATAGCTGGACAAGTAGCTTATGAAATTAAATTGTTTGGCAAACTATCTGTTACTAACTGATTTATGTTAAATAACTTAAAAGAACATATAATATTATATTAAAATTAAATATAACTTATTTTAACACATCTTATTAATAAAAATGATATTATTGATTCAAACAATAACTTGAATTTATTTTAAAATTATTAATGTTAACATGTTATATTAATAAAGATTACATGAATTGAATTTAATAATTTATTTCTTAATTTTAAAATATTATTTATCAACTTCATTTATTTTTATCTGACAAAATATACTATTAATTATTAATAATAAAAAGATGAAAAAAAATGGAGGAAAAAAAAAGGAAATGGACTATTGTGAAAATAAAGAAAACAAAATGACAATAAGACTAACGTACTAGTGTTTTAATTGTGTGAAGGATAAGCTCACTTTTTCCAAAAAATAATAAAAGGTAAAAATGTAATAGAAATATTGGTAACTAGATTTTGAAAGCTAAATGCTTTGTTAGATGGCTTTTAAAAAACTAACTTTAAAAAGCTAACTTTTAAAAGTTACAAACTCCTTTCATTTTTTATTTATCAAACAACTCCACAAGCTTATTGACCAAATCAATAAGCTACAGACTCCTAAATAAGCAACAAGCTACCTTTACCAAACATAGCCTTAGTACATTATTAGTTGTGAGAATTCTTGAGAGTATTGTTCACAAAAGCAAAGTTTAATTTTTCTCGTGTTTATTTTATACATATAATATGAATGAAGATTCTTGAGAGTATTGTTCAATTTATTTATTTATAAACAATTTGATAACAAAAACTGTTGTTCACAAAAGAAGAGCAACATTATTACTTGTGAGGAAAAAAACGTAAGTGTGTAAAACATTATTTGCAACAAAGAAAGATTAAGTGCATGAAGTAATTGTCTATAAGTGAATGAGGGTTTTCCCATTTCCTAAAGCATGAAATCTCAGTCCCATCTCTCTGAGTTAATGTTCCATGATTCATTCATGATTCTGTGGAATGAGGCCCAGAATTGAATTAACACTCCAAGCTCTTTCTTTCTGGATTGCAAAAAATAGGCATCCCTCTTTACATGGAATGGAATCACCATTCATGTGTACCAGACATGATGCAAGAATGCTAGATAAATATACCAGTAGAAATAAAATCCTTGGTTTCATCAATAGGCATACCGACAAGCGTTGCTGATTCAATCCCCCATTTGCTTCAATTATAAGGAACCCATTTGACTTTGGCAATTCTAAGGAAAAAGAATTTGGGGAAAAATTAACAAGAAAAAAGTTAGCTAATTACTTCAACAAAGACAACAAGGACGCAAGATAAAACAATCAAGATTCCTGATCTAAGTGAACTTGAAAATAAAATGAACGCGAGAGCCAATGTGGCATAGAAACAAATTTGACCAAAAGAGGTAAAAAAATTCATGAAACAATCAACTAAAACAAATTTTCAGGAGTGCACAATTTGTCTTTCAGAAAAGAAAAGACCTGTTTCAGGAACACTTCTGTTAGCGCAAGGCTTCCACTCTCTATGTTCCATATTATTCCAAGCTTTCATTAACTGCATGATATGCACTCAGATTTTAAGTGCCAGTCACCACTAAATGGATAACAAACTATGAAATTACGAAGACAGTTTTCACGAACGAAAGTACAACAGCAAAGCATTATCTCAAGTACCCCCAAATGACTTTTACGTTTACGCTACAGCTAAGAGTCATGAAGCAGTGGTTTTCATTTTGAAACATTGATTGAAGTAACACAAGACAAGACAATGCCGCAGTAGACGTGGAAGCTAGAATGAAACAAAAAAAAAAAAAAAGAGGAGAAATTGGGTACCACATTCACAGTTCCGTTGGAATTGGAAGCCTCAGCCTCCATGAAGGGCCATAGCTTTTCGAAGACCTGAGGACTTCGATAAACAGAACCAGGAGGAGCACGCTTGTGTACAACAACGACACCATTCTTTATACTCACAACATTGAAGCTCAACGAACCCATGTACAACAACATCCCTGAAATATACAACAAAGGCGCAAAAAGAAGCAAGCCTCGCTTTCTGAAAACGGCCGACATAAGAATGAAAAGCAACTTCTCCATGGAATTGCTCTCCTTCGACGAACCCCAGCTGCTGCTTTTACTCCGGCCATGGCGGAAGCGCGGCGACGACGGTGGCGAACGCGCTGCTCCGCCCAGGCGGCTGTACCCATGCATTTGGATTGGAGGATGGAGATCCACCAACAGGATCCGAATTTGAGTTCGAAAAACGCCAAAATTATACGTTGGTTGAATGCGGAGCGTGTTGTGTGGTTGAAATGGGAAAGGAGTGGCGAAATTCGAGCTTACTATTTTATAGTTTTTCTCTCTAAAAAGGAAAAGGGTTTTGTCGGTAAAGAAATGTGCGATAAAGCAGGGATAGTGGTACCACTACTCGGTACCACTATTTGGTGGTGGGGAAGATGAGCATCGACTATAGCTAGCTACGCTTGCCGTTGTGCGTTTCGGAGCTGCACGAGAGTAATAAAGATGATCACGTGCTACTCGCGTGTCAATTTTCGAAACACCCAATCGCTGACCCATGGTGGATTGGTGGGTACTGTGTCCAGTCCTGTCTTTTATTTATTTAAATGTAGGAAATAATTTGGTTTGAGTTTGATAAAATTATTATCAACGATAAATATTTTATTTTATATTTGGCTAAATTATTTCACGATAAAATGTATGAAATGAAGGTTCTCTAAGAATCGTACAATGTAATGCTTTATTTATTCTATTTCTCATTGTTGGTGGATTGTCCCATGGATAACTTTCATTTTCGTTATTTTTAATCAACTTGTAAAATGCGATAAAAATAAAATTGTAAAAAATTAAATAACAGTATCATATTTTTTTAAATAATTTAGAAAAAATTGAGCACATTTTCTTTAAAAAGAAATAACTGATAAAATTTAATATTTTATTATCTCTATTTTGAGAATTAAATTTTTTTTAATATGTTAATTTGTCTTAGTGTTATTTTTAAAAGTGTAAGATATGATAAAATTTTATAAAAAAAATTAAATATGTTTTTTTATTTTTATAAAAATTATTAAATTTAGAATTAGTTCTTAGAAAAATGTTAAGATTTAGTTTTAATAAATTAGGTAAGTTAAAAATTAGCTCATATTTCAAATTTTTAAAAGTAACTTTGTCTGTGGCCGCATAATTGGTCTCAAGTCAGATAAATAAAAAAAGTTGTGTTAGGCAGCAGTAAACATAAAACTTGTTAAAACTTTTTATATGAATAACTCACAATAATTTTGTTGCATTGGCGCCTTAATATAGTGTAATATAAGTAAGGGTTCTCATATTCGGCTGCATGAGTGTGGGTAAAGAAGTTAGGGTCCATGAACATATGTTTTGGTTTGATTCATGGAATATTAGTACTTTGACCGAAAAGTAGTGGACAGTATGATTCATAGAAAGATTAGCATCATGTGTCCCTAAGAAATAAAATAAGTTGAAGATAAGGCCAAAGAGCTCTATAATATAGGTTTTTAAACTTTGGGGTACAAGAAAAGTCAAACGAAAGGCCAAAGTTGACATAATTATAGATAATATTTGAAAAAGGAGCATGGTAGAGATTAAAAGGATTGGAGACAAGATCATCTCCTTGATGTTATTGGTTGCACAAGACAATATTCATATCATTAGTGTGATGCTCCACAAATTAACTTCAAAACACTTTTTAAAGCAAAAATTTGTGAGAATTTAGAGGAGGTGATTCTCATAGGTGGAGATATGGTCATATTGGTTGTAAGACAAGACAATTTATAAGGGCTCATGATAATTTTGGTTTTGGAGAGTTAAATAAAGAAAGACAATTTATTTTTCATTTCTCAATGACCTACTAGTCTAAAATTATGTATACTTGTTTCAAGAAAAGGTAGGGTCTTAAGGTCATAGATCAATTTTTGTTTTTATTTTTTGTAAAGAATCTAGATAAGAAGAATTTGCAAGGATTATAAAGTGATTTTAGGAGAGAGTCTTACTATGCAACATATGGTCTTAGTCCTTAATATTCATGTCAAGATTGGTAAACAAGAATTTTACAAATTATTACAAGAGTTAAGTGGTGACTACTTAAAAGGTGAGAAACAATTAGACTTTCAGAAGCAATTAGTAAATAAGGATAGATGGAATGCACAAGGTTGTGTCAACATCATTTAGAACAAAATCCATACAAAGGTAAGAGAAGTTACTAAGCAAATTTTTGGTGAACTAGAGGTCTTGGACCAAAAGACAAGGATTCTTAGTGACAGAATAAAAGTGTATAAGAGAATATTATAGATAAGATGTGTTTTAAAATTTTTTATACATGCAACAATGCTGAAAATTGGGCAAGGCATGCAACAATCCTGGTGGCCGTAGCTTCCACCCATTTCGAGACATAATCAACAAAAAAAAGTATATAAAGAAAACCAAAAGATAAAGGGAAAGGTCTCATAAAGTCAATACCCCAGACATCAAAGATGTCACAATATAGGATGGGCTGTTGGGGCATCTCCTGTTTCCAGGTAATTACTCCTCCCACTCTTTGGCATCTCTCACAGGTAGAATATGTTTGCCATGAGTCTTTGAAAATTGAGGGCCAATACAGTCCTACATCTAATATTTTCCTTGCTGTCCTTTGGGGTCCTTGATGACCTCCTACAGCTGAGGCATGACAGAACTGTAGTATGGATGGGATCTCTTCATCAAGTACGCACCTTTTGATGACTTGATCATTACAAAATTTTCATAAATAAGGGTCATCCCAAATGTAATGTTTGGCATCACTCTTAATCTTTTTCCTTTTAGCTCTTGGTGCATTTGCTAGAAATGTCCCTGCAACTAGAAAATTAACAATGTCAGCATATGTTTGGAGGGCAAGTGTACCCATCGAGAAGTAATAAAGAGTTCTTAAATTAAGTTCCCAAAATATCATCCCACGATTAATTTTTAATTACTAAGAATTTTCTAATTCAATTGTTTAAGCTTCAAAGATACAAGATTAATTAAAACAAGAATTTATAAAATTAATTATAAAATTAAGAGCACGGAATACAATGCACGTCTTGGTTAAACTTATTGGAGAGGAACCTAGGGCGTATGGATTTTCTCATTCAATCCTTTATGTTATTTTTCTGTTTAACTCTAAATCTGATTTTCTTATGATTACCAATCATTCATACGAATACTATTAATACCCAATGGTCATGAAATATTAGTATTCTTTTCTCTAAATTAACATCCTCAATAGTCATGCAAGACATCAATTTAAGAAAGCTTAAGGAACCTATGAACTTGTTAATTTAATAACGATTAGAAGAGAAAGATTGGTTTGGTCCACCTAATCCTTTGTCTCGTACCCTATAGATCTATTAATTAACCGAGGTACAGTCGTCTGATAATATAATTAATTAGGATTAAGAGAGAAGTGTAATAGGATAAAATCTAATGACGAAACGAAAATCAAATTTAGATTCAAACGTCAAAACCCCACAAATTCATGAACAATAGTTCCTATAGCCCTAACTATGGACTTAGTTACTTATGCTAAAGAAAAGAACTAAAACAATCATAAACAAAGTCATAATTAAAAGAAATAGGAAACTAGAGTGTGAGATGTGTTCCCGTCTTCAAGTATGATCGCTCGAAACTCTAAGTCCCGCCAAGAGTGTACCAAAGATCCTGTGTAAGAGAGATGAGATGAGATGTATCCTAAAGCAAAAGCCAAGATAAAAACGATTCCCCCCTATGATGCCTGAGGTCTCCTGTTCGGAGGGCAAGTGTACCCATCGAGAAGTAATAAAGAGTTCTTAAATTAAGTTCCCGAAATATCGTCCCACAAGGATTGATTTCCAATTACTAAGAATTTCCTAATTCAATTGTTTAAAAAGCTTCAAAGATATGAGATTAATTAAAAACAAGAATTTATAAAATCAATTATAAAACTAAGAGCAAGGAATATAATGCACGTCTTGGTTAGGGCATATGGGTTTTCTCATTCAATCCTTTATGTTATTTTTCTGTTTAACTCTAAATCCGATTTCCTTATGATTACCAATCATTCATACAAATACTATTAATACCCAATGGTCATGCAATATTAATATTCTTTTCTCTAAACTAACATCCCCAATGGTCATGCAAGATATTAATTTAAGAAAGCTTTAAGAGCCTATGAACTTGTTAATTTAATAATGATTAGAAGAGAAAGATTGGTTTGGTCCACCTAATCCTTTATCTCGTTTTACCCTATAGATCTATTAATTAACCGAGGTACGGTCGCCTGACGATATAATTAATTAGGATTAAGAAATAAGCGTAATAGGATAAAATCTAATCACAAAACGGAAATTAAATTTAAATTCAAATATCAAAATTCCATAAATTCATGAACAATAGTTCTCATAGCCCTAGCTATGGACTTAGTTACTCATGCTAAAGAAAAGAACTAAAATAATCATAAACATAGCCATAATCAAAAGGAATAGCAAATTAGAGTATGAGATGTGTTCCCGGTCTTTAAGTACGATCGCTTGAAGCTCCAAGTGTCGCCAAGCATGTGCCAAGGATCCCGTGCAAGAGAGACGAGATCAGATGTATTCTAGAGCCAAAGCCAAGATGTAAAAACGGTGTTCTCCAATGGTACCTTAGGTCTTCTTTTTAATAGGGTTTGAAAACCCTAAAAACTCTTCATAAATGGGCTTCCCGCAGATGAGCACGGTTGTGCAAGGCCTTAAGCACCACCGTGCATGGCCTCAAAGCACCCCCGTGCTTATTGAATGGGTCTGGGCGTGCTGACTGCTGCGAAACTGTAATCTTTCATCAATTTGGGTCGAGAATGCACCCAAAATCCACTTGCGACCTCTTTATACCAAACTGCACAATTAATATATAAATTAGTGTAAAAATCAAATAAAATAAAGGTCAAATATGAATATATGGGCTATAAAAAAGGGCCTAATTACAGACTTATTGATGAATCCATATTTTGACTGATATTTTAGCATAATTCTAACACAAATGATAAGAAAAATATATAAAGAAAGCAGAAAAACTTAGAAAAAGAGAAGGAATTGAATTTTGTTTACATATGTAGTTATTTTAGCAATTGTGAAATTTTTGCTTAGGAATTAAGTTTTTAATCTTGTTTTTGTAGGAATAAATTGAGTAAGGATCATATTCATGGAAGTTTGATGACAAGGAAGAGGAAAGAAGCAAGTCTGGACTCCAAAAACTCAAGAATAAGAAATTGCAGACTGGGCGTGATCACTATTGTCAGTGAAAGTGATCACTTCAGAGCTCAAAGAAGAAGTGAAGCCTGGGCGTTACCACTTTTATCATTAAAAGTGATAGTTCCAGAGAGGCAAAATATCAAGAAAGCTCTGCGTAACCACTATTGTCATCAAAAGTGATCGTTCCAGAGAGTCTTTAACTTGGCGAGCTGCGCGTAGTCACTTTTATCA